CTGACACATACTAAAAAGCAAATGGGCTAACATAGGCTTCTTAGACCCCTTGCGAATCAATGAGAAGACATGTTTAGGTATCCATGGATGTGACGTGGAAGACCTGAAAGTGAGATTGATTGCTGTTTTTGATGAATTCAAGATGAAGAACAAAACCCACATACTTCTAGCCTACAACTACGAGTATGTGTTCTCGGCTTTTAATTTTATGCTTCTTTTTTCGTTAAGATTATTCAATAATTAGGATTCTATGATTGCAGCAATCATTTCAACTTCATTTGTGTCAATCTTGCTAAAAATCTGATCGAGGTGTGGGACTCGAAGAAAAACCATTTCATCGTCTGGATGCATTGGTGGCAGTGCTAAATTAGTAAACGATTCTAATAACATATTATTTTGTAATCACACATATCGGTGGGACGTAGGTCCCATTCAAGGTTGTCAAAATGGAGGGGACGTACCTAAAACAGCCGGCGGGAAACAATGAATGCGGGTTTTATGTAATGTGGGCAATGCTTCGCTACATCGGCAGGAAATCAGAAGAAGCAGATAAGTTGGTGTGTATAATCCCCATTTCATTTATGTCTGTTAATAATTTAATAAAATAATTTACTGATTCCTCTTTGGATATCATCTTTTTTGAACGACAGCGCAAAAAATATAACCACGAAAGGCTGTTAGACATGGAGATCGTCGCACTGCAATCGGAGCTGGCAAAATTCATCTTAGCCGAGGTATTGGAAAAAGATATAGTATTTTCCATCGCACAATTCATGAAGTTCAAGGACCAGTATGGCCTAGAGCGGCTCGCTAGATTATTGTAAGAAGTCCGAGAAGCATTGCACAATCCGTGAAGTCGGAGAATATTTCTTTTTTATTTTGAGGGGTCGAGATCTTGATAAGAACATATAACCATAACATTTGTAATGTTTAATATTGATGGACCTGTCGTCTACGTAGCGTATATAAAGCAAAACCTAATTTCATGAAAAAAATAGAAATTAAAATAAATTATAAAATAATAAAATGCGAACGGGACATCACTGTCGGTTAGCAGCAAACTGGCAGTGTTGTCGTAACCATCACTGCCGGTTAGCAACAAACTGGCAGTGTTGTTATAACTATCACTGCCGGTTAGCAACAAACCGCCAGTGATGGTCATGATGGCATTGCCGGCTTGAGCACCAAACTGGTAGCGTTAGATTAGCTATCACTGTCGGTTCTTGTCACAACCGGCAGTGATTCTTACGATAACACTGCCGGTTGAATCATAAACTGACAGTGATGTTCGCGGTTACACTACCGAGTGGTCTCATGAACTGGCAGTGTTGGTGGACCTGAATTCTGCCGGTTTTAGAAAAAAACCAGCAGTGAAGTTGAAGAACACTACCGGTTTGTAGGAACCGACAATGATAGCTAACCCTCATTACTGTCGATATGGTTGTGCCGGTTCAAAATCCGACAGTGATGAGGTGTTTTGAACCGACAGTATTGTCGTGATCTGGGGTAGTGAGGAGTGGTCTAGCTAAGTAGCCCAACCTAGCCGATGGAAGGTTTTATGCATTTCTTGTGTGCTTATCGCCATCTTGTGCGCTAAGCTATATAGGAGAGAGTTTCCTCAATGAGAAGGGACATGTAAGAACTGAAGAAGAATTCTACCAATACAATCATGTCCTTGCTATCTTCTTCTTCTCCTCCTTTTTCTGCTTCTCCTTCTCCTTCTCCTTATATTTCTTCTTCTCCTTCTTCTTGTTCTTCAACGTATTCTTCTCCATCTCCTCCTCCCCCTTCTTCTTCTTCTCAACCATCTCCCTCCCGCAGCGATGTGAGAGGCGCTCTCCCTCATGGCCTCGGCGCGATGGCCTCACCATGGGGAGCTGGGGCTCCCTCTCGCATGGCGACGCGACGGCCTATGTGTGGGGAGCGGCGGTGCAAGGAGCAGGCTCCCTCGCGCGCGGTGGCCTTGGCATGAGATGGCAGCGCGGCATGCTCACCATAGGAGGAGCTCAGCGTGGCGTCGGTGAGACGAGCTTGGCGCGGCGTCGCAACTGCCGTTCCAGCATGGTCCTGTCGGGCCGTCGTGCCTATTGGCACGGCACTGCACGGCTGAGTCCCCATAAGGCCATGCCTGGGTCGAGGGTTAGGCATCGTGACATGACATGGCACGGCATGACAGCGTCGCCATGCCCCCATCGTGTCGTGCTTCACCGTGTCAGTGTCGTGCCATGCCTGAGCAGCCCATTTAGACATCTATAGCAGAAGCTAGGAGACCTTAATCGTATCATGGTCTAGTTTTTTCCTTGTTTGTTGCGCTCACTAGCTGGGATGAACTTTCTTTTTTCACGTGTGTGCAAGCTTAATGGCTTTGGTTTGTATTCTGACTATCATTTGTGTACCATCTACGGATGGTAGAGACGGGAACTTTGTTCCCTTTATAAAAAATCCTATACCAAAAGTTATAGTGCTTGACAAGATTTAAAACTTTATAGTTAAAACTTTTTTCATTTGAGTTCATTTAGTAGACAAAGTGTTCAATATAAAATTAGAAAATATTAATATAAAAATATCATCTTTTATATGTAGTCACAAATGAGGGTGTGATGTAGTGATAGAGAGATGCTAATGTTTTTTTAGAATCAGGCAGGAGAGCTGTTGATTATATTAAAAAAGAAGATGAAGCCTAGACTGGGCAAAATAAGAAAACAATACAACTATGGTCGGTTGGATTGGTCCATCAACGCGAACTGAACTTAAACTCAAGAGAAGAAGAAAAACAACTTTGTCCTGTCGAAATGGGACATCGACATGGACCACAGAACACACGTTCAACCGCCTTCGAACCACCACAAGCATGTCACCACACTACACCGCCAAAAACCGGGTGACGGAGTCGTCAAGACGAGAACGTCGTCGTCATCGCTCTCGCTATCGTTGTCGATGCTGTCCCACACCAAGGTAGCCTGCTGCTGAGCAGGGCTAACCGCTGTAGTCCGATGCAAGCCATCGCTGCCTCTAGCGCTCGCCAAGCCGACCCATCCATCGAGATCCAAGCGCTCACACCATAGCATCCAGTACCTAGCTGCCCCATTGAAGGTAGAAGTGCCACACACGTCCTCCAGCTGTCAGTCAGAATGCCTCCTTGTGTCGGAAATAGCCGTCACTAAATGGGACCGTCTGCCACCACACCACGTAGGTCACCTCGGTAACGCAAATATGCTGGCCACCACCTCCCACGTCAGCCTCATCGCCAACTCCATGGCGACCTCCCACGTCGGCCTCCTTGCCAACTTGTGGTCGCAACTAGCATATGCTCCCACCAAACCATCGCCCTCCAATGCCAAGCAGAAGCGAGACCCTCTGATCATTGCGCCAACGCCCTCCTCCTAACCACCTTCCTCCATCGTGGACACCGCAAACTTGAATTCTCAACTACGCCTCCACCTTCCTTGCCACGATGTTGGCCGCTGCAGCAAATTGATTGAGCATGAGCTTCCAAAACGACGCCTACAAGAAGGGACGCGACGCCACCGGTGCCACCGTTGCCTGACCAGAAGGTCAAGGTTTTCGCCCAGGGAAGACAGCGCAAAGGGGAGAGGACCGTTCGATTGACGCTTCCAAGGAAGAAAACGGCGCCCGGAGGCGTCACCGTCATCGACCCAAGAGGGACAAAGCTTTCGCCATGGCGCCTCAACCTCGTGCACAGCAACGGCCATGACCCGTCCGCTATGCTAGCCGCTGCCCCGCCTGGCCGAGCCACCCACTGTCGTTGATGCTAGTGTTGAACCACAGGTCATGATGAGTTGGATTCCTTAAAGATGTAATTTTTTAATTTTTTGGCTTTTTGAAATTATTTCCTGAGGTGTGCATCTTAACGTGTCTGCCTCCTAAGCCGGGCGTGAACATCGTATCCGAAAGTCTTCTGCATCAAAGGGCATTTTTGCACGAAAAGGCATGTAGCCTAATGGTTACAAGAGCCTCACTAGCACCTTAGGCCTTGGGTTCTGACTCCCAGTGGGAGCGAATACTCCAGGAATTATCGGCGTTGTGTTTTCAATGGTTGGCGACTTTTCCGTCGACAACGAGGTGCATGTGGTGACTTCGTCAATCTCGGGGATTGACGGCCTAGTCTTTAAAAATACTCATAGGGGTAGAATTTACGTGTATGCTTTCATAAGAGCGAGTGTCTGTGCGTTGTGAGCATCTGTGTTCTACTGTATCATCTAGGAAAGGGTATTTTTGCGAGCCACACGACCATAGAACAAAAGGTGGAAGTAGGTGGATAATTGGCTCCTACTTTCTGCCACCATGTTCCCGGTAGAGTACTCGTGCTCTACACCTGTACATATACCCAAGTAATTGTTGAGCACCATGCAATTAGCATGAAGGGGGCCCACCCACTAGCTAAACTATTCATCTCTGCTGTGCTACTATACTATACCACCTTTGTCCACTCACTCACCACATACTCTCTCTTGCCACCACCATATATGCAGTTGCAGTCGATCTCTCTTCTCTACTACATACATGAGCACGCAGTTTCATCGTCGTCCTTCTCTCCATAGAAACACAGACACCTGCTTCTTGTTCACCTCGATCATCTCCCTCCCTTCCACCGTACTACCACCCTCGCCCTGGATTATTACCTCCATAGCTTTGATATCTGATATCTCTCGCCGATCGATTCCCTCCTGGAATCCAATCCGATGCGGCGGCCACCACCACCACCATTGCCAACCTAAGTGGCGTCCTCTGAGAGGTTGGCAGCGAGCTACATCAGCGAGAAGCCTAGGACGCGCAGTATATCTCGGAATGTGCTGTCTCCCAACATCCGCGAAGCGATTCTCCCTCACCCTCGAACCCGCCTATATAACCATCGCCATGGCTCCCCCTCCCAACCCCCACCAGAGCTAGCTAGCTACCTACCTACATCACTGTTATCGAGCTCGGTCGGTCGCCATCATCGGCGTAGACGACGACGGCATAACTAGCCAGAGCTAGCCATGGTGAAGTTCTCCAAGCAGTTCGAGGGGCAGCTCGTCCCCGAGTGGAAGCATGCCTTCGTGGACTATTGCCTGCTCAAAAAGGATCTGAAGAGGATGCAGCAGCAGCACGCCCGGCTGTTGCTTGGCGGGCATCATGCTGCCGACCGTTGCGAAGCAGGCCTAACCGACACACAAGAAACAGCCGGTCATCACGCGGAACGGGCCTCTCTCTCCCTGTCCCAGTGGCTCTTGGACAGGCTCCCTGCTGCTCTCTTCGGCGGCTCCAATGCTCCCAACAAGGATCATGGGGTCATACACGTACGATACCAACTAACACTTGCAAGCTGCACCGTATTGTACATGCACCATGCGTCCATGTCCATGCATCATAGTCCTTGACTCCTAGCTATGTTCTGCCTCCATCCTACTAGACCTCACGTCAAAAAAGATCTTACTTGTTCGCGTTCAGTAATTCGTCACACATATTGACATATATGCTGCAGGTGCACCGGCGGAAGCTGGCGGGGTCGGCGAGCAGCGGCGGCGACGAGTACGAGACGGAGCTGCTGGAGCCGCCGTTGGCGGACGCCGACGCGGCCGCGGCGCGGGAGTTCTTCGCGCGGCTGGACGCGCAGCTCAACAAGGTGAACCAGTTCTACAAGGGCAGGGAGCAGGAGTTCCTGGAGCGGGGCCGGTCCCTGCGGCGGCAGATGGACATACTCGCCGACCTCAGGGCGGCCAGGGAGGACCCCTCCGCCGCCTCCGCCGCCTCCGGTGAGTAGCAGTGTACATAAAGGCGAAGCTCTGATCGACTCGACGACGGCCGTAGCTAGCTAGAAATTAGGATGCCGGCCGGCATAGCTAGCGTGCGTGCGTGCGTGCGAGCGTCGTCGTGTCGTCGCATGGATGGCGAGAGCGCGAGGTTACGTGAGACGACATGTCACGCAGCCAACGCGGCGAACGGGGGCGCTGAGCTTGAGTGGTGAGGTGACTGCTGACTGGTGAGGTCAAGTCCACCGTCCATGTCGAATGCTTTGCTTTGCTTTGCTTGAGCTTGAGGCGTGTGAGCAAGGAGTCACTAAGCCCTGCCCAGGAATATATCGGCCCCTCTCCCCTTTTTATCGTCTCGTCGTGTGCGATGTCTTTAGTTAGTTGTGTCTGCATTTGGCACGACCGCATTCACATTGTTCTATTGTTTTATTTCATCTCGAATTTATTTAGTGTTGCCTTAGCTTTTAGAACCCCTTTAACTGAGTCCTTGCCAGTCTGCGCATAAAACAGAAAATCATGGACCTGATGCATTCACATGTAGTCACATGAGCAAAAACTAGATATTATTTATACGATACATAACATCTGGATGCCTCTGTGATTATAGAAAGATAAGAAGCATCATATAAAATTCCATGCATTATTTGTGCTGCTAGTAGCCCATGACTCCGGAAAAGGCAGAATTCCTTCCTTTCAATAATACTAGTACTAGTGCAGCGCATCTATAGTTTATGATCATGTTTCCTCAGTGATAAAATAATGAGTTAAATGCACCAGAGGTCCATTAATTTATGAGAAGGTTTCGATTAGCTCCATTAACTTCTAAAGTGGATTTTTGGGTTCATAAGCTTTGTCGTTGTAAACTAATAGTCCAAAACCAGCCACGTCAACACCAACATCTGATGTGGCCATGCCACATAGGCAGCTCCTAGGTCAGACCATCATGCCAGCCGGCCTGGGCATGCCGTGGCACTCTGCTCGCGTGTCACGAGACGAGAAAAAGGAGGCGGGCGCTCTGCTGCGAGCCCTACTTCGCGCTGAGCCTTGAGCGAACGGCCGCTTGGCGATCTGAAGCGATGTGGAGTCAGCAGCTGCTGCGCTGCTGCGAGAGAGCGTTCGACGAAGAAATCTTGAGGCGCCTTGACAGCGGAGCGGCGCTCCACGCTGGCGCGGGGTGAGATCGCTGAAGCTTGTTAGCTTGCTTCATGCGCGAAACATGCGAGCAATGGCGCTGCTCCCGTTCGGTGAGAAGCAGCGAAAAGGCATGCACCGACGAAGAGCAGATGGTGCGGGGCGCGCTATTAAATGCGTTGATTACGTCGATCGCCGCAGGTGGCGTCGATCGATCTCCCGCGTTGGCGTCGTGTGCGGAGATGTGGCATTGCCTCTGGCTTGTTAGCTTGCGCGTGAAACGTGACGCAAGCACACGGGCATGCCTGCATGCATGTCGCAGCTCGGCGCACTCGGCGGCGTCGTGGTCCACGGCTTTGACGATGTAGATGGCATGGGCGTTACGAATCGATCCGCCCGGTGATTGGCGTGCGTGGTTAAGCCGGCCGACCTCGCCCTCACCGAGTTCAACGTACTGCTCTTTCGGCGGCGCGACTTCCACCACACGCGCCGTTCCTCCGTCGGCGTTGACAATGGAACTTCGGTGTAGCGTCGCGTGAACCTGACGAACCGTCGCGGTGCTCACGACGCAGCCGCGCCAGCCGATCGTCGAGACGCGCATCACATGCATGTTGCAGCTCGTGCGTCAAGCTAACAAGCGTGAGGCGACCAATGACAACGCCAACGTGGAGCACGGATAGCGCAGCGGCTGCTCGCTTCATCTCGTTTCTTCGATGACTTCTTTCTTTCTCACCGAACGGAGCAGCGCCCAATCGTTTTCACGCTGATGGCACAGACTTACGCCGCCGTGCGCGTGTGCGCGCGGTTCTTTTTCCTCCAGCAGTTAATTGCTGACTCAAGATCGCATCTGCATCTCGCGGCTCAAGGCTGTGGTGGCTGCTCGCAGAGCGCCTGCCTCCTTTTTTTTCGTGTGGACGCGCGAAAGCCAGTGCCGCGGCATGCCTGTGCCGGTACCGGGCATGATGGTTTGACCTAGAGTCGCTTATGTGGCATGGCCACATCGACATGTTGGTGCCGCTTGTATCGGTTTTGGACTATTAGTTTACGACGATAAAGTTTATGGACCCAAAAATCCATTTTAAAAGTTGATGGACCAAATCGAAACCTCCTCGTAAGTTAATAGACTCTGATGCATTTAACTCTAAAATAATATCTGAAGACGTTCGCATTAGAAATTGGTGATTTGGGCTTATTTGGCGCCTCCCTCACATGGGCACTATTCACATGAACCAGCCAGCAGTACTTCTCTCTCACATAAACGAACCAGCACCGATATGAACCAGCCAACCAAAGAGGCTGATACTCACTCCGTTCCAATTAGCCCTGCTAACGGGTTGGGTGGAAACGGGTTTTTTGGGTTGGGTGCTGGCGTGGGGTTTGTTTGGATGGGTTAGAACGGGTCGGGGTGGGTCGGGTTAACAGCAAACGCGGGTTGGGAGGGGTTGGGGCGGGTTTGAATGGGGAGCGCCGGCGGCGGCCGGCGAGAGCGGGAGAGAGATGGCAGAACCCGCGGTGGGCGCCGTGAGCCTACTGCTGGTCGTGATTCGCAAGGAGGCGGCGCTGCTGGGCGTGGGCGGCATGGGTGCCGACGTGCTGTGAGATGCAGAGCATGAAGAGCTTTCTGGCGCCTCGGGCATGATCCACAAGGAGGCGAGGACAGCCAGCTCGGCTCGGGCGTCGCCTGGGGGAGAGGAGGAGGGCCAGGGGCCACCGCGCGCGGCGCGGACGTCACCGGTGGGAGAGGGGAAGGGGGGAGGGCGCGGCATCCTCGCGCCGTAGCTGCGAGGGCAGCTGGCGCGGCTCGAGCGTCGCCGGGGGGACCTGGTGGTGACTCCTGATCGGACTGCAGTAGGACCCACAGCGGCCGCCGATGCCGTTTTGGGCTCTCTCCGCGACGGCGCCGATTTGGTCGCGGCGGCGAGGCATCACATCAGCGCGGGATTACAGGGATGCTAGGACAGATGGGTGAACCCGCTTCCGTGGGACGGGTTGGGAAGGGTTATTTGCTTCAATTTTTCGGTAGGGCTGGGTTTGGGGAACATCCTGATAGCCTGCGGGTCGGGGTGGGTTTCGGCTTTGTCTACGCAGCAACCATGTGTTCAACATATAAATTTTTTTATATTATAGAATTAAGTCTATTCTTCTTCTATATCTAACTTTTTTCTACTTCTAGATAATTAAAAATCATAAAATCACATATCCACAAATCACAAAAAATAATTTTTTTCTATAAAATGACAAATCACAAATGGCAGAAGAAGAGGTGCCCTGCTCGTGACATCACGTCAAAGCTCCTGTGGCTCTGTCAGCGTCAGTCCACAGGGACTGTTTCCACGCACGCACAGCCAGCCAAAGCAACAGACATACAGCCAAAGCAAAGAATAAAAAATTATATGTTTTTTTCTCCTAAAACATACGTGTATTATATAATATTTTTAAAGCATTTTCGTTTTCTACATATATATATAATATATATATATATATATATATATATATATATATATATATATATATATATATATAGACATAGGGTACAAGTCCATAGCAAAATCTGTGTATTCGTAGAAAAACGTCTTAAATTTCGAACGGAATGAGTAATATCATCATTATTTTCTTCCTACTCAAAACAGAGGATGAGTTCACGAGGTATGCGATGACGTCAGCATCAGACACGGACCAGCTCCAGCTGACCGAGCAAGAAGAAACCACAGCGACCATGAGCAATGATCCCGGCGTCGTCACTGCTCAAGAGGACCAGCAGCAGCAGGATCTAGAAGGCTCTGGAACCTTGGTGGGGAGGCCGTTGAGCGGGTGCGGGAGGAAGAGCCTGAAGATCACCATCCCCCTGACCACCCCCTCCAGGACGATCTCCGCGCTGACGGACATCTTAAGGGACGAGCTCGCCAGCAGCCAGTTCTCCAAGAAATGCGACCCCGACGGGGGCGTCGGGAAACAGAGCATCAACAAAACCAAGCTCCGGCACGCGGAGAATATGATCAAGCGCGCCTTCGTCGAGCTCTACAAGGGCCTGGGCTACCTCGCCACCTACCGGTAAGCGCGGAAGCGCCGCTCATTTCTTCGTCGTTCTCCTGCAGCCAGAACTGCAAAATGGCAACACTGAATGTTTTGGCGATGTGCAGGAACCTGAACATGATGGCATTTGTCAAGATTTTGAAGAAGTTCGAGAAGATTACTGGGAAACAGGTCCTGTCCATATATCTCAAGGTGGTCGAGAGCTCCTACTTCAACAGCTCCGATCAGGCATGTGTCACCCACATATATATACTACATTTGCTCTGTCCCTCTGTCAGTCTACGAGTATTCTGGAATCTGGAGCACTGAAGCTGACGAGCAGAGGACACGCTGCTCTTCCATCCGAGTTCACTGCAGGCGCTGAAGCTGATGGACGAGGTCGAGGACATCTTCGTCCGGCACTTCGCCGGCGACAACCGGCGCAAGGCCATAAAGTACCTCAGGCCCGCGCAGCGCAGGGACTCGCACGCCGCCACCTTCTTCACTGGGCTCACGGCCGGCTGCTTCGCCGCGCTGTTCGTGGGCTACTGCGTCATGGCGCACATGGCGGGGATGTACTACTACTCCACCCCGGCGCCACCGCCACCCCGCGCACGCGGTGTTGTCGCCGGCGGCGGTACCGGCTTTGGCGACTCGGTGTCGGTGTACATGGAGACCGCGTACCCGGTGCTGAGCATGTTCGCGCTGCTGTTCCTTCACCTGCTCCTCTACGGGTGCAACATGGTGGCGTGGCGCAGGTGCCGCGTCAACTACTGCTTCATCTTCGAGTCGTCGCCGCGGCCCGCCGGCGGCGGGGAGCTCGGGCCCCGGGACGTGTTCCTCGTCTGCGCCGCGTCCATGGCCGCCGTCGCCGGCGTCATGTTCGCGCACCTCGCCCTCGTGCTCAGGTGGGGCTACCACGCGTCGCCGCACGTCCAGGCCATCCCCGGATTCTTGCTCCTGGTGAGCCTCTCTCTAGGTGCCCACTGCTACAACTATTTCTGTCCTGATGCTCCTCGTGTCCTGGCTGCTGGAGAATCGAAGAACATGCTTCCGCATATGCTCCTGCTGCAGCTGCTCACGATCGAGAATGAGAATCATGGAATGTGTTCGATGCACTGTAGGTGTTTCTGCTCCTGCTGCTGTGCCCGATCAACGTCGTGTACCGGTCCAGTCGGTTTCAGTTCCTCAGGATACTGAGGAACATTGTGTTGTCACCGCTCTACAAGGTACAGCATCAGCAGCACTTGCACTTGTTCTGTTCTGACCAGTTATTCTCTGATACGAGTCTTTGCACGATCTTCTTTGGACCAGACTGGACCAATGCACAGCCTGATTGTTTCTGAATGTTTGCAGGTTGTAATGGTAGACTTCTTCATGGCCGATCAGCTTTGCAGCCAGGTACGTACTACAACTAGTCGGTTCAAGAATTTGACAAATTTCTGTCGATCGCTTGAATGAATCCATAGATGATGAAGATGAACATCTAATCTGACAAAAGAGATGGCAAAATGAGCAGGTGCCTATGCTACGAAGCCTGGAGTACTTGGTGTGCTATTACATCAGTGGGAGCTACTGGACGCAGGAGTACGGCTACTGCACCAACACCAAGCACATCAGAGACCTGGCCTACGCCGTCTCCTTCCTGCCTTACTATTGGAGAGCCATGCAGGTGACGAGTTCTTTCCTGCTGCAGAGTGCAGAGTCCTGAACTCTGAATGTCTGAAATGTATTGTTGGGTGTGCAGTGCGCAAGGCGGTGGTTCGACGAGGGGGACACGAGCCACCTGGTGAACCTGGGCAAGTACGTCTCCGCCATGCTCGCCGCCGGCGCCAAGGTGGCGTACGAGAAGGACAAGAGCCTGGCGTCGCTGTCGCTCCTCGTCGCCGTGTCGAGCGGCGCCACGGTGTACCAGCTGTACTGGGACTTCGTCAAGGACTGGGGTCTGCTCCAGCCCAACTCCAAGAACCCCTGGCTCAGGAACGACCTCATCCTCAAGAGGAAATCCATATACTACTTGTCAATGGTACGTCCCTCAGCTAATCACCGTGCTGAGGAAGGTTTGGTTGCAGTGTCTTGCAGAACAAAGTGCTTGCTTGTTCAGAGTTTCAGTCTGTCCGACCGAGCGATCTCAAGGATCAAAACAAAACCCTGATCACGCACGAAGATTACCAACCCAAAAAAAACTTTAGACTCAGTATCCAATATTAAATTTCCGACCATAATCTCTAGATGGACGAGTATGCTGTTTGTTCTGCACTAGTGAAGCATCACGTTCCAGAAGAACCAATGGCTCGAGTGAAATGTTCTGATTCCTGTCTGAACTTTTTTTTTTCAGGGACTGAACCTTGTGCTGAGGCTTGCTTGGCTGCAGACCGTCATCCATCCAAATTTTGGTAGTTTGGATTCTAGGGTCACTTCCTTCTTTCTAGCGGCTCTCGAGGTGATCCGTCGTGGGCATTGGAACTTCTATAGGTAAAAGCCTTATAATACTACAGTTCTGCACAATCTCATTAATTCTTGAAACAACAAACACATTTGAAAGTCAGAGACTGAACCAGATACTGAAAATTTCAGGCTGGAGAATGAGCATCTGAACAACGCGGGCAAGTTTCGGGCGGTAAAGACGGTTCCACTGCCTTTTCATGAAGTGGACGAGGACTAATGCACAGCTACTGAACCATCTGACCATCACTGCTAGATCAAACACTTTGTTCCTTCAACATTCTGCTGAATTTTTTTGAACTCAAGAGGTGGAGAGGTCCTTAGCTGTTCATGCGTGTAATTCCTTCAGGGGATGGAATGGCATCTCTATGTAACCGAAGATGCTGAAATCATTTGTTCGTTCCTAGATGCCTCAAGGTGTAAATAAGAGGCTCCGCATTTCGCAGTATTTTGTCTGAGGAAGTGTGAGTCTTTATTCCAAAATTAACGAAAAAAATGGATACAGAACATGTCAAAAAATTACCACAAGCCACAATCCAATGGTTCCTATAACAAATCCCGCAGATAAACCTCACCGGCCTATAATGGTGCAACATGAACAGAAACAGAGGAAATAATTACACCATGAGCTCGTACACTGATATATGGATCTCTCTCTGGGATTTACCACGCTAGCGATAGCAAAATCGCCGCCATGGCGGTATGCAGGACGACGGAGGCCCAGTGCTGGTGCTGCCGGCTGCTCGCATTCTGCAGAAAAGAAGCAAAAAAAACATTGTGATCATTCCAACTGAGAAAATGTGAAGTGTTGTCGCCTAATAGGATAGTGATTCGGGCATTACCACATCGGACGCTGACGGTGCAGGGCCGGACACGTCTTCCAGATCAGCCGGCGACGGCGCGGCGGGAGCAGGCGGGCTCAGCGGCTGCGGCGCTTCCGCGGGCGCCTCCTTCTTGCCGTGTTGCTTCTTCCTCCTCTTGTGCTTGTTCTTGCCCTTGGACGGCGCCTCGGCGGGCGGTATCTCCGCGGGCGGCGCGGGGGCCTCGGCCACGGGCGGGGGCGTCGTCGCGGGAGGCAGCGACGCGGGCGCCTCGGCCGGGGGCGGTGTGGCCGTCGGCGGAGGCGCCGCGGCGGGCGGCAGCACGGCGGGTGGGAGCACCGCGGGCGGCGTCGTGGGAGGTGGCGTGACCGGTGGCGGCGTCACCGGCGGGGGTTTGGCCGGCGCGACCGGCGGCGGCTTTGCTGGTGCGACAGGGGTGGCGGTGGGCGCTGGCGTTGTCGGGGTGGCAGTGGGCGCCGGCGTCGCCGGGGTCGTGGGTGCAGCCGGGGTCGTGGGTGCGGCAGGGGTCGTCGGTGCAGCCGGAGTCGTCGGTGCGGCCGGGGTCGTGGGCGCGGCAGGAGTCGTGGGCGCGGCAGGGGTCGTGGGTGCGGCCGGGGTCGTGGGTGCGGCAGGGGTCGTGGGTGCAGCAGGGGTCGTCGGTGCAGCCGGAGTCGTGGGTGCGGCCGGGGTCGTGGGTGCAGTTGGCGGTGACTGCGCCACGGCGGCGGCGAGGTGGAGCACGAGGAGGGCGCCGAGCACGGCGAGGCGGCGCCATTGCCGGAGCAGCGGCGCGGCCATGCTGCCGGCGGTGGCGGTCTGCTTGTTGGGGGTGCGTGCGGATGCTGAGCTCCCTGGTGGTGGTGGGAATGCGATCGATGGATCTCGTGGCGATGAGGAGCGTAGCAAGCGAGCAGAGTATATATGAGCCCTGAGCGTGCGCGCGCGCGCGGGATGTATGGAGTTTGGAGTATGGTAGTGGCTTGGGAGTGAAGGGAGTCGGGTGAGCGTGCAGATCGACGCGAATGGCGACACGACAACTGCCTTGACACGCTAACCGACTGCCTTGTTCTAGTTCCTAATCTTTTTTTTTTCTTCCTTGTTTAACCAAACCAATTGAACGGGCAACAGAAGCTTCCTTTTTGCCTTTAAAAATTGGGAAAGCTATTGCTACTTTCGGGTATTTCATTTCATCTTCGTCTCAGCACGTGGATCTCTTCTTCCTCACTCTTCTCCAAATCCGAGTGTTCTGAGGCCATCAGCAACAACAACAAAAAAAAGGGAAACACTCTTTGCCATACGTGTGACTAACTCTTTCTTCGCCCCTTAGGAAAAGCTAGCAAAGAACATTTTTTTGTGGAGAGCCGCACATAATAGTCACCCTCTCAGGTCTAACCTGGAGTTTAGAGGCATAGACATTGAAGAACAGATGTGTTGTCTGTAATCGGAATGGCGAGGATGGAGGTCATCTTTTCTTCAAATGTCAAATGTCAAATGGCAAAAGGAACTAGGGTGGGCTGGATTGGGTGTCGAAGAACATCAAGAACGATGTACTAGCTGCCATTGTCTCTGCACGTGAGGCAGTCCGATACATTCTATGTTTGAAAAGGGATCCTCAAATGAAAATTGCGATCGGGGTGCGGCTGTGGTGGTCAGAAAGGAATAGAATCAGGGAGGAGGGGAAAAGAAGACCTATTTCGCTCATTGTTAAATCAATGGAAGCTTATGTGGGAGAGATTATATAGTCAACTTCAAAAGAACCAAGGGGCAGAACTAAAAGGAAACAGGTGTGGATGAAACCAGCTTTGGACTTCCTGGAGATCAATTGCGATGCCTCCTTTCGGAAGGGAACCGGAGATAGAGAGTGGGGTTACATCATTCGAGATAATTAGGGAGACATGTCATAGGAGGAAGGGGCGGTTAGCTCATCGGAATCACAAGGCTCATGGTTGAAACAGATGCTCTACCGGCGAAGCAAGCGATGGAATCGAAAGGCTAGGGTCTATCAATAGCGGGAAGGTTCAGAAATAGCCGACTGAATTTTGTTTCTTTTCATATCAATGTTGTCTCTAAATCATGTAATAGGGTTGTCCACGCTTTAGCAGCGTTGGGATGCGAGAGTGGAGAGGATGATAGTGGATCCTCTTCCAGAATCCAGATTGTGTTCAGCTGATAGTGCAGCACATGAGTAATGGAATCCATTTTCATTTAAAAAAAGCTAGCAACAAAATTGTTCAATGATAGACGAACCAAACACCAACTTAAGAAACTGTGACACATCTAAACTATAGTGTAGCAATGTTTGACCATGAACCAAACAAGATTTTGGATTAAGTTAACTTTTAGTAGAGGCCAATGCCAAAGGCTAAGTGAATTGTCCAATAGACGGACACTTTAAAGGCATCTTAAATAAATAGGTAATACAACCTAGAATTTTGAGCTTGGGTATTCGAAATAGAAAGGATACCAAAATAACTTTTTGACAACCAAAACCTAATATTTGGCGTGTATAATATCATATAGTTGTAATTGTATAATACCCCCTCTCATTTCCAAATTGTAAGTTATTGTGGCTTTTCTAGATATATATAGCTTTTTGTATGCATTTAAATATACATGATGCATGTCTAGATACATACGAAAAGCTATGTACCTAGAAAATACATGACATTTTAGAATTTGGAACGGAGGGAGTATATAGCAAATATATAACACATAATCAAGCATAATTTCACCAATTAGTAGAATTTAAGCATAATTTAGAATTATTTAACATAAAAAAGTACCCATCGTTTAACATAGTAAAGTAGCAACATATGGAATATATAGTCATATGCTCATATATATATTAGGTTTTTAAAGGTATTGAATGTAAGACTTGATTGGATGAGGTGGGGGCAACCGGGCAGACGCGAGGAGGGTAAAAAAAATGAAATGTGGTATAGATATGCAGCCCGTTCGGCTGGGCTTATACGATCGTGGATTATAAGCTGAAACAGTGTTTTCCTCTCACACCAAACCAGCCAACAGTAAATAATGCACGATCGTTTACGACGAAACGAACAGGCTGATGGTTATTAAAAACCACATTTGCTTTGTATGACAGTAGAGCATAGGCTTTCATGCAAAGGTGTCGGTGCAGAAAGAGAGCCATGACACCATACACCTTTTTGATATGGGTGGCTTTTGAATCTTTGCTTCAGAACATGATAATGCAAGTCATATATATGAATGTTAGTTGATGCCTTGGTGGCGCATCTTCTAGCCGTATGTATCCCCACTATGCAGTACTATTGTACTTGTGTACATTGAAACATGATTAGCGTCCTGTTCGTTTGGGTTTGTTTGGCTTATAAGTCGTACTTTTTCAGTCAACGAATAATATTTCTCTCTCACACCAAATCAGCCAACGGTACTTTCAGCCATGGCTTATCAGCCAAATAAGCCCAAACAAATAGGGCGTAGGACATCCTGCGAGTTCCGGTATTAGCTGGTCGTATGTACAAGTACAACATAGGAGTATTTCTTTGAGAGTTTGGATCAGAGGGCTCATTTCTGCTCTTTTATATATTAGTTCGAATCTCATTAACCTAGCAGCTACTTCTGAGTTATATAGGCGCCCTCTATTTATTCCAATTTCCCGTTCCTGGCTAGCAAACATATATATAGCAAGAAGAAGTGGGGACACTGGACAGTGACAAGAGACCAGCAGCCCCTTCGCTTGCTCGTATCTGGCTTATAAGCCGTGGCTTATCAGCCAACGAACAGTATTTTTCTCTCACGCCAAACCAATCAACGTTACTTTCAGCCATAGCTTATAAGTCAAACCAGCCCAAACGAAAGACGCAGCACGCCAGAGCTGGTTCTCTCTCTCCATCGCCAGCTGCTAGTCAAAGTTGCTTGCATTTCACGATCAGCTGGCTGAGACGAAAAAGGGACGAATTTGAGGCGGTTTTCTCACTGCACGTCGGTCGAATTTAACTTGTGGCGAGCGTCACATGTTTTCCATTCCAGCTCAGCTCCGGTTTACCAACGCAACTACGCAAGCTAGCTCGACGTGTTAGGTCTACCTCGTTGCGCTGTTTGGTGAATGTGTAAGGTGACATGTCGCTGCGCACTGCTATGCTCTCGCTTGCGCTGCACGGGAACACTGTCGTCCTCCAGCACACATGAAAAAAAGAAGCACATCCTTTTATATATATGGATTGCCACTTTGCCAGCGTTGCATTTGCGTCTGGCCGTCTCTGGGAATGAGAATACACACTGCACGCAGTATCGGCCATGCTTATCAGTTATAATACAGTGTTTTTTTCTCACAACAAAACAGCATCGGCCGGCTTATAAGCCACAGAAATAATCAAGCGAACAGGGTGAAGCTTTTTCATGTACTAACAAACCTCTGTAAAATCTGGTTTGCTCCACTTCTTATGTGATATACAGTAGCTAGAAGAGTTCCTGCTGAGATTTCTAAAAGAAGAAAATAGGATCTAGCCAGGCTGTGACTTAACAGCTGAACGATACATCGCGTTTTAATCACGGGTTAGCTAGTCAGTCACGTCCCTCACTTTCTTGATATGCACTGCAGTCTGCACATAGTTCTGGAACCTTTAAAGGCCTTGGAAAGGCCAGAATGTTAGTATGTTTTCCTTTTTCACTTTTGATTTGAGGAAAGGCTAATAGCACTCTAACAGCTTGGCTATCCTTGTTATCGAGACTCCCGAGCTGTTGGAAGTGTCAGACAAGACTCGCAGGAAAAGGATGGGATGGAATGATCCACTTTTAGAAGACGTGTAGTTTTTTTTTTTTTTAAACAAAAATTAAACTTGGAAGAGTCTGCTAGGAAGGTCCAGTCAAACTGTAAGATCTCCTAGGGCGCTCATTAGAAGCGCGTCGTGTGTATGGTTAAACTCTACTTCTTCTTAATTACAATGATACGTAAATCTTTTGCGTATTCGAGAAAAAAAAAACTTGGAAGAGTTGACATCAGTGCCCAGCCCAATAATTGTATATGGTCTGGGCTGCAAACACCACAATGGCAGGCTGCGCTAGAGCCCATGCGGTCGTGCAAGAATGGGTGAGTACCAAGCCCAATCCTCTATCATAATCTGTATAATTAATTCCCCTCAAAAAATCTGTATAATTAATAAATTAATAATAAAAATAAATACTCCAAAAAAATAATAAATAATCTTACCACGATCTCTTCGCTCAAAAAAAATAATAAATAATCTTATCGACATCGTGACCGCTGCTGATGCCTGATGGGCGTGTTCGTTCCGTTCCGTTCCATCCCATCCCGTTACGTCTTGTCTCGTCTGCCAACGCACCGCGGCGTGGCGTGGTCGAGCCTCTACAGAAGCGAGCCGTGCCCGTCTCTCCCAAATCCCAATCCACTCCGCACTCCGCCCTCCGCCGCCGCCACCGGAAGAGCAAGTGGTAGCGAACACACTCACCACCCCTCTGGGCCCCTTCGCCCGCAGCCGCCCTGGCATAAAATCGACGAACTCTACTTCCTCTTCTCGGTCTCGCTCTCGCAGCTCTCTTGGGTGCGCTCATCGCCGGCGGCAGTGAGGCATCTTCGCCTCCGGCTTCCTTATTAGGAATCAACCCATCGATCGATCATGGCGTCGTCGAGCTCTGCTGGTACTACTAGTGATGGCAACCAGGGCCTCAAGGCTCGAGATGTCTGCATCGTCGGCGTCGCCCGCACGCCCATCGGCGCCCTCCTCGGGTCGCTCTCGTCCCTCCCGGCCACCAAGCTCGGCTCCATCTCCATCCAGGGTACGTACCCGCCGCGCCACTCGCTCGGCTCCCACGTTTTTGGCTGCTTCAACCGTGATCCGTCACCAAATTGCTGCGTCATGTGTGGTCCCTCCCAAATCCCAGGTGCTCTCAAGAGGGCGAAGGTCGACCCGGCTCTAGTGCAGGAGGTGTTCATGGGCAACGTCCTCAGCGCCAACCTCGGCCAGGCCCCGGCAAGGCAGGCGGCTCTTGGCGCTGGCTTGCCCAACTCCGTCCCCTGCACCACCGTCAACAAAGTTTGCTCCTCAGGAATGAAGGGTACTACTGCTACTAACTAGCTGTATAATTTTGTATATTGATTAATTATTGATTAGCCTTGCAACGTGAGAGCCTTATCCTGGAATGTTACCACCGACTTGTTGCAGCTGTCATGTTTGCGGCGCAAAGTATTCAGCTGGGGATCAACGATGTCGTGGTCGCCGGTGGCATGGAGAGCATGTCGAATGCCCCCAAATATGTGGCTGAAGCAAGGTTCACTACTATTCCCAAGTCATGTTATAGGCTAGAATACTTTTGTTGTAGGCGTCCTCTGTTGTACCTTGTGCTTACAATAAGCAGTGCAAATAAAATGCAGGCGAGGGTCACGGTTCGGACACGATGTCCTGGTTGACGGGATGCTCAAGGATGGCTTGTGGGATGTCTATAATGATTTCCCGATGGGAATGTGTGCTGAATTGTGTTCAGACCAGCACTCAATCTCAAGGGAGGAACAGGTTGCTGCTGTTCCTAAGCTTTATTTATGAATTAAAACATGTTTCTACTTATTTGCAACTAGTCTGGGCAGTGACTTATTCTTTCTTCTAGGATTCTTATGCTATCCTCAGCAATGAACGTGGAATAGCAGCTCGGGACAGCGGTGCATTTTCTTCGGAAATTATTCCTGTGCGTGCATGATTTTGATTGACCACAAAGCTCCTTTTGTGTGTTAGGCTTTGATACTTCAGTATATGGTACCAATCTCAAATATTTTGCTCTTTCCCAGGTTGAAATTCCTTCTGGTAGAGGGAAACCACCAGTAGTTGTGGACAAGGATGAGAGTCTTGCAAAGGTAATCTGGTCTATTAGTGTTGATTTTGATTGTTGCAGATTCATAAAAGAATTGTCTAGTGTCAGTATGAAAGTGACTGAACATACACGAGAACATCCACATTTAGCAGTATCCATAACAACAATTAACACAATTTCTTTTCCTCTTCAGATTTGACATTTTTCCTTTGATGTTCCATATGTGTAGTTTGATCCAGTAAAGCTGAAGAAACTTCGACCAACTTTTAAGAAGAATGGTTCTGTGACGGCTGGCAATTCTTCTAGTATAAGGTTTGCTTCCTTGTTACTCGGATCAGCCCTCTATAATCTATATAAATAACATGCAACCAGAGTCAATGGTATACCATATTCTAATAATTGCATTAGCAATTTATATTTGAGATTAGTACTTGTAACCTGGACAACCTCTTTTTGTATTGTTATGATACTCTTATAGCTACTAGAAACAAGATTACAAGAAAGGCTACAGTCGAGACAATAAGTAGATCTGAGTTGGTAATATCCTAGTAGTTGTAATTATTATGCCTTAAGCATATCTAAGATAAGATATGAACCGATTAGATTTGCATATATTCTTAGTTGAGCTTGTCAGAGAATATCTCTTATTGAAGGCAATTCATCAGTAAGCAATATTAAAAATGGAAACCACTCTCTCCTATATACCCTCATGGATGAAGCTGTCTCATGCCTCCCTTGTTTGTTGGCTGGACTCCTGTACCACTCCATGTACGTTATCAGACTACCTTTTGTAGACAGTGAAACCATGAGAAATTTCTTCACCAGTGAAAATCACAGGAATTAATCCTAGAGCACTGAAGCTAGGTCATTCAAGAGAGCCCATGCTGAGCATACAGTAGCAGTACACCTGCAATACTGTTGAGTGTTGAAAGCTTGAGTTTCCAGGGCATAAGAGATTGCCAGGGCACTATTCAATTGAGTTAACTAGGACTCAGATTTTTTTTTATTATTATATTTTTTTTGGGGGGGGGGGGGGGCGCATAAGCCTATTGCCAATCTTTTTTTCTCTAATAATGATGATTGTCCCATGTCTGAGCCACACACATAATTCTTATCCGTGTCCTAGAATTTGGTTTAGCATAAAGTCCCAACGAAATACATCGGGCTCATTAAGGACATGTACAACAATGTTGTGACTAGTGTTCGAACAAGTGATGGAGACACGGATGACTTCCCGATTAGGATAGGACTACATCAAAGGTCAGCTTTGAGCCCTTATCTGTTTGCCTTAGTGATGGATGAGGTCACAAGGGACATACAAGGGGACATCCCTTGTTGTATGCTTTTCGCGGACAATGTAGTGCTAGTTGATGAAAGTCGAACAGGAGTGAATCAGAAACTGGAGTTATGGCGGGAGACTTTGGAGTCCAAAGGTTTTAACTCAGTAGAACTAAAACTGAGTATATGAGATGTGACTTCGGCACTACTACTCGGGAGGAGGAAGATATTAGTTTGGAAGGTTAAGTAGTGCCTAGGAAGGATACCTTTCGATATTTAGGATCAATGCTACAGAGAGACGGGGATATTGATGAAGATGTTAGCCATAGAATCAAAGCAGGGTGGATGAAGTGGCGTCAAGCATCTGGTGTCCTATGTGACAAAAGGGTACCACAGAAGCTAAAAGGCAAGTTTTATAGGACGGCGATTAGACTTGCTATGTTGTATGGTGCAGAATGTTGGCCTACGAAAAGACGACATGTTCAATAGATAAGCGTCGCGGAAATACGTATGTTGCGTTGGATTTGCGGTCATACAAGAAGGGATCGAGTTCGGAACGATGATATACGTGATAGATTAGGGGTAGCACCAATTGAAGAAAAGCTTGTCCAACATCGGTTGAGATGGTTTGGACATGTCCAACGGAGACCTCCAGAGGCACCAGTGCGTAGTGGAATCCAAAGCCAGGACAGTAACGTGAAGAGAGGCAGAGGAAGACCGAAGTTGACTTGGGTAGAGGCAATAAAAGGAGACTTGAAAGGATGGAATATACCCAAAGACTTAGCCTTAGATAGGAGTGCTTGGAAAACAGCTATTCACGTGCCTGAACCTTGATTGCTTCTGCTGTGTTTCAACTCTAGCCTACCCCAACTTGTTTGGGACTTAAAGGCTTTGTTGTTGTTGTTGTTGTTGTTGTTGTTGTTGTGTCCTAGAATTTGGAATTGGCTATAAAAAAGAATGTATTTAATGTATATTTCATTGTTGGTTTGAAATAATAGTCAATGTGCGCTTAGCGAATGAGGCAGGATGAGATGGGATAATCCAATTTATTTTATGGTCCAATTTTTTGGATGAGATGGAGTGGGTGCTAAATCTAAATGACTTCCACAAAGAACTCTGATGATAAATCTAAATGACTTCCGAAACCTCAGGGCTCACACTTTCAAAGAGTTAGAAAAACTAACAGAACTACAGAAGTATTTCAGCAAAGGCAAGTGATTTTGGCAACACTGATCTTGCTACCTCTTTATTGTTGAAAGATCTTCTGTTGTTCTTTTGAAGGGGAAAAATCAGTGAGAATCTAAGTGCTAGTTCTTGCATCCAAGGGACACTGTATTCCAAAACCAGGAAAGGTGGTGCAAGTTCTTGCATCGAAGAGAAACCACATTTCAAAATTTGGAAGGTGGTGTGAGTGCCCTTTGTAGTGGGAAAAAAAAAGGGATTCACCTGAGCCTATACATGGTGGGCTGGTGGCGGTGCAAGTTCCCGTAGGAGGTAGGAGCAAAATTGCTGTTGTCCATGCTCGGAACATGTTTCCTATAGTGCATCTAATATGACATACAAGAAAAGGTTAGCTCATAATTCTGCTAGGATCCCCACACTGCCATGCATCACAAGGCTACCTGCACACGCTCAGCCATGATTTTTCTTATTTCAAACTTCGGACTCTATTGTTTATTTATGTTTAGTGTAAGATTAACTTTGATTGGATGATGCATAATTCATCTAGTCTAATGCCGATCTTATCTATCAATGGACAGTGATGGTGCTGCTGCAATTGTCCTTGTCAGTGGAGAGAAAGCCAAGAATCTTGGCCTTCAAGTTATTGCAAGGATTAGAGGGTATGCTGATGCTGCACAGGTAACTCTAGCATGACTCCTGTCCTAATACATTGTTTGAACAAGTTTTGTGTTAATGAGGGAAATTATCCTTTTTCCTGGAACCAATATCTATTTTCCATTCAGTGATGTGTCACTGGAGTCTTTGTTACCTTGAAATCTCGCTTATTGTGACTTATCACACTGAGCATCATTTTATCTCTGTTGTGTGCACTCCTTTCTAATGTAGGCACCAGAGCTGTTTACGACAGCTCCAGCTCTCGCTATTCCAAAGGCTATATCAAATGCAGCTCTTCAAACTTCACAGATTGATTATTATGAAATAAATGAGGCTTTCTCTGTAAGTTCTTGGTCTTTCCAGTTTCAATAGTACTTACAGCTGAAGCACAACTCTAGACTTAACTGTACTTGTGGACATTGCCAGGTTGTTGCTGTAGCTAATCAGAGGCTTCTTGGTATCCCTTCTGTGAGTCACTGATTTTTACTTGTTGATATAATTCAGCAGTTAGTATTTGTATTTGTCTCTGCATGATAATAAATATCTCTGTACATTCAGGGAAAGCTAAACTTAAGTGGTGGCGCTGTTTCTCTGGGCCATCCTATCGGCTGCAGTGGTGCACGGATTATAGTCACTCTGCTTGGGGTATGCTTCCGACCCATGTATAATTATGATTTACTTATTGACTGCAAAATTTGTCTCGGTGCATGATATATCATCCTCTTTCTTATCACATTTGCACCCAACCAATCTATTTTTTTCATCAGAATTTGAAGTGCATACAGTGGCAGACTAAGTTTTTGAACTACTCTTTTCATTTTGTCTGCATCCTTGTACCAGAGTAAATCTAGAACATTCATGTTCCTCTGATACAGGGAAATGAGAATTGATAGTATGAGTAAAACTTGACTTATTGGATATTTTGAGCTTACAGTTTTTGGGCTACCGTTTCCTTCTCTGCAGTTTTGTTCAATTTTGTGTATCCTTATCTGTATGTCAGGTTATTGTATATTTCCCTGTCATGTGTTATCTTCTAAACCATCATGTTTAATACTCTGGCATGCAAATTGGTGTGGTTTGAAAAATCTGAGCACCCCCTTTTCACTTCAAACTTGATCAAGGGGATAGACATCCCCTTGATTTTGTTCTTAAGAAGTTTATGCCTGGTGACGGCAGTTTATCGACCCCTGAACCTCAACGGTCTAACCAATGTAACTCAGGAGAAGTCGGACCCTCTTTTCACTTTATCTGCAGCCTCTCTCCAGAGTAGCTCCAAATTTTCATGTTTAATAATACAAAGCAGCAAGAATCGAAGAGGTTGAGAACTTGACCTGTAGAAAATGGACAGCATTCTCCTTCTGTGCAATTTTGTTCATTTGTTTGTATCCGTATATTCATTGAAGTTTCTTATATTTTGCTGTCATTCTTTCTGAATCATCTTGTTTAATACTTTGGATGCAATAGTGTCGTGGTGCTAAACTTCTAGCTTTTCTTGGTCTGCAGATTCTTAGGCAGAAAAATGGAAAATTTGGTGTTGCTGGAGTTTGCAATGGTGGAGGCGGCGCTTCAGCCCTCGTTTTGGAGCTCATGTAAGCTCTTCCCGTTATATTGTTCAGACTTTTTTTTCCCCCTGGAACAGGAAATCTTCAGTTCTCTATGCTAATGTTCCATCTGATCGTCAGTGGGACACTAGAAAACACTCGTTAACAAAGTGTAGTTATCTTCCTACTCTCCACCTTTTCAATACTTCTTGCACTACTTGATTTCCAACCTGCAACTGTTAGAACCTTTGCTCATTAAATCAGAAGCTACTTAAGAGTTATTTGAGCTATTTTCTTAGTGGCTCTGACATGATGCAGGCAACCCTCTTCGCATATTCGTTCATCATTGTGAAGTTGGTGCAAGCAAATTAGCAAGACATAATTTGTAAAATGTGTTGTATCTTTTGTCATTTGTAGGGGGGATTAGTTCGTGTTGTGTGATAGAAGGAAAACTGTAAAATAAGGTCCCCCCCCTAGCAATGGAAATAACAGAGTCCCGGAAGAATAATGTACAGACATTGATACAGTCACTATACCACTGAAAATAGATGGGTAGTGAACAATCGTCATGGACATGATTTTGCTTTACCATTTTGTGTGAGCTGAGAGTACAATTGTAAGATTTAAAACCTTTATTATGCCCCCTTGGGTACACCCATTCCTCATGGGGATTGAGGGGGAAATGACTAATTTATCCTTCAATCCCCATGGGGAATGATAGATCCAAAGGAGCCAAAAGATTACCCCGTCGAGCAGGATATGGGATGTAAGATCTTCAACAGGCATAGCGAATTGAATTGCTGTAACATGTGCCCCAACATGAAAATGTAATCATCAGGTGTGGACGTATAACACACTCCTGTTGAACAGCCTTTATTTTAGGCAATAAAAAGCTACTTATCCAATGGGAAGATCCTGATGACAAATTATGAGCTGCTCATAGTTAAGATAAGGTTAAAGAGGCGCAGATCAATGATTAAACGCACGCTACAAATTGGCCCAGGCGTGCAACTGAAGCATTGCAGATTCTTTACTCCGCAATTGAAACTGTCATAAGCAAAAAAAAAAAAAAAAAAAACATTGCTGTTTGCGGATTCGCAGAAGCAAGATGCATTGGCCGTAGAAATTCAGCATAACTCCGCCAGAAAAGGGGGAAAAAGAGTTTTTGGGGGGGGGGTTGATAAAAAGAGAGTTGAGACCACAGTCCTTCAAAGTTTTACCCTGTTTGGAAGCACTCGCGCCCAGCAAAAGATCAACCGTGTCGTACGCCGCCCATCCCATCGCCCACTAAACCCTACTGTTCATTACAGCACAATTATCCTGTCAACTCGAGACAGGACACTATCATCCACTGAAGCATTGCCGTGTCGGTCCTGCCATGCGTCACAGGAACAGGCGCCGTTGCCTTTGCACATGCCACATGAACCCCACGATGATGATTAGTAGGTAGCGGCCGTTGCCGTCCAGTTATATATATCAGATAAGCATCTTTCTTCGTTTCCGGCCGGGTCAAATCTGTGGCGTCCCGCCTTTCGCCTGCACTGCGACCCACCTGTAAAGGACGCCGACGCCGCGGACAGCGATAAGGGCCATCCCCAACTGGGGATGTCCCCTCATCTTGCCATCCCTTAATTTCTCTTTGCTTCATCCACCCTGACCCAGCAAATCCCGAGGGAATAAATAAACGAAGTTTTAAAAGAGCGGATGCTATTTGACGATGTTCTAGGCAGTTCAAGATTCAGAGATGTTGTCCATCCCCTATTTTCTTCAGGCTACGAGCCAAATTTCGTGTCGACATCAGAAACTTCAGTTGTGTTTCATTTTCTCCCATCTCATTTTTTTCAAAAAAAAAAAAGTTATCCCATCTCATTCAGACGCACTATCGGGTTGCTGCTGACGAAATTTTTCGGCACAGTTCCATGTCCCTGTCGTCGGATCTAGATAGGCGAATTCGCCAGGAGGCCCGGATTCCAAACAGATCGGATACCCAACCAGGTAGCCATGACCATGAAGCTGATGCGCGTCCTTTTCAGATAACAATAAAAAAAGATCTAAAAAGCACACATGTGAACAAACTTTGCCCAAAAGCTCAACTCAAATTAAGTGTTTCTTGTCAAAAACCCTGATTTCAAAAGCACTGCTGATTACAGGCATATTGCCAAATCTGGAAAAAATCGATAGAGCAATTCACTAGCCACGACTAAACGCAGCAGTCCCTTTTCAACAGCTAACAAATCTTTGCACAAGCAAGCAGACCTCAGCACATGATCTATGTTAGTGGTAGAGGACAGGGATGGCGAAAGAATAATCACGATTGATCCACTCAAAAGAATTACATGAGGTAAAAAAATTCATTACGAAACGCCCTAGCTAGTTAGATCTACACAAATTTACGACGATGAGGATTACAATGGCCTCGAACCAGATGCATCAAGACCTCTGCTCTGGCTGTTCCAGCTGGACTGGCTGAAATCGGTCGTGAAATCTTGGCTGCCAAACGCCATCCGCTGGAACAGCCTGATCTCGGCCGTGTTCGCGACATTGAACATCTCACTCTTGCCTGGCTGAACGCCGTTAGTTAGATCAACGTCAGCGAGACTATCAAGAACTCGCACAACCTGAGAGGAGGCAAGTGGAAAAAAATTGTTAGGTACTGGTCTGTCTGATGAGATGTGCATGCACTCTTCTTTATCCTTATACCTGACTCATCCTCGGTCTCCTGGATGCTGAATGTCGAATACAGGCCGCAGCAGCTTCAATCATACGAAACATTTCAACTTCATTATAGTTCTTGTTGAGTCGGGCGTCCACTAGCTCCCCAGCATTGCCAGTCTCAAGCGCTTGTGTGAGCAATGGCCTAGCCTGCAAATAACTAATGCTGTCACAAAAAATGCTGGTCCACATGGTTTATTTACCAGTATTATTTTTCTGAAAAATCACGATTCGAGAATGGGATTTGAAGATATCAATAGTGTGTATTCAGCCATTCAGGCTGGATACACTGTTAAATCCCATACAGAATTGAAGTAGTCAGTGGATAAGTCTACTTAAGATTTTGAGTCATGCAAATTACTTATGATATGGTTAAATTTCATTTGCTACTGAAGGAAAACTGGAAAGCTTTTAATGAACCAAACTACTGCTATAGCTTACCCACTCAACAAGGCTCTCATCACCCAATGGCTTCGATGCATCAACAGGTTTTCTACCAGTAATAAGCTCCAAGAGGACAACACCAAATGAGAATACATCAGATCTCTCAGTCAACTTGCCACTTGATGCATACTCTGGAGCAAGGTACCTAAATAAGAAACATGCGTCAGATTACAAGCAAGTTTTAGCTGTTCTCTTGGACTTGTCACTGTTTTACTAACCCAAAAGTTCCCATCACTCGTGTAGTTACATGAGTGCAAGCATCCATAGCTAACCTTGCAAGACCAAAATCAGCAACCTAGCAAATGGGCACCAATGCAGTGAGTGATGACTCCATTATAAGATGTTACTGAAATTATGTAGAAAGCATTCTTACCAGTGCTTCGAAGTTATTATCCAGCAAAATGTTAGAGGACTTTATATCTCTGTGGATTATTCGGGGATGACCTGCCAAGGAAAATAATCAAGTAACAAAACATGAGAGTAGTGCAAATCATCAAACAAAAAGAGGTGAAGGAATGAAAAATGTCATTACAATCTTCATGAAGATAGGCTATTCCACGAGCCGAGCCAGCTACGATTTTAACCCTAGCCGGCCATTCCAAGACTGGTACTCCACGTCCTATGATGACAGATCAATACAGGTACGCATTAATTGTTTAGTCCACACAAAGAACTACTACCTCATTCCAAAATAATTGCAGTTCTGGCTATACCTAGACAAAAAAACTGCAATTATTTTTGGAACGGAGGTGGTACAACAATGCTCCTGCACAATATATAAAAGCACAACATACCATGAAGATGGTGGTGAAGTGTGTTGTTGGGCACAAAATCGTAGACAAGCAATCTCTGGTCATCTGAAATGCAATACCCTACAAGAGAAACTAGATGGCGATGATGCACACGACTGATAATATCCACCTCAGCATGGAACTCGCGTTCCCCCTGCCCGCCGCCATCTTTCAGTTTCTTAACCGCGACCTCTCTTCCATCAACCAAGCAACCCTTATACACTGATCCGAACCCACCTTCCCCTAGCAGGTTCTGAGCTGAGAAGCCATTTGTGATCTGATACAATTCCTCATAAGTGAAGAACCGACAATTGCCCATACTGAACTCTGGCATTGAATCTTTCGATTCAGGACTCCCAGCACTGAAGTTTGTTTTAGCTGAATACCCTAAACAAGAAATGAGTTTCAGTTCAGTTAATCACTCAGGTACATATAAAGACTAATCTTAACTTTCCAAGTGTGTAATTGCTGCAAATGCACTTGATCAAATTACCTAGCACTTGTGTAGGAGTCGAGGCAGGTGAAGGCATTACAAAGCCAGCATGGTATCCATGCACTATCCTCCGTTTCTTCTTGTACAAAAATGCAGCTCCAACCAAGCTAAGCACAAGAATGGCAACGACTACACCAATGCCTGCCTTTGCACCAGAAGACATCCCACCACTGTCTACTGAGGAGCTGCTGCTCGGCGAGGCTGGACTCGACGGCTTGTTGGAACCTTGGCCCCCAGTTGTTACCGGGCTAACTGGATCAACTGCAGTTGCAGGGGCTGGCACCGATGGAGTAGCACCAGAGCCTGGCATGGACGGTGTCGTCCCAGGAGGTGAGGGGCTAGAGGGAGTGGGGATCGAAGGATCTGCTGATGTCGGTGAAGGACTGGTCGGAGAAGGTTTGACAGGAATTCCAGAAGGTGGTGGTGCCAGGGGTGGAGGTTCTGTCTGAGGCGTTCTTGGTGGCCGGCGCCGTGGTGGAGGTGGCTGCGTTACTGTCGGCGGCGTTGGGTCAGCCGGCGGGTTGGGCGCCGGCAAATTGGATGGGGGTGGCGACGCGGCCGCAGGGGGGCGTATAGGTATAGGCGACGCCTTTGGTGGGGCAGCAGGTGTAGGTGGTGGAGGTACTGCAACCGGCGGCGAGGGTGGGGGCACTACGGCTGCTGGGACGGGTGGAGGAGAGGCAACAACAACTGGCGGTGGTGGCACGGCGTCCGGAGGAGGCGGAGGCAAGGAGGGCGGTGGAGAAGTGAGCTGTGGCGGTGGCGTGGATGCGGAAGGGAGGGGAGGAGGCACGGCCTGCGATGAGGGAGGGTCGGCCGGGGTAGCATTGGGCTGCGTCACCGGGGCCGGGGAGGCCGGCGTGGGCGTAGTGGTTGCCGGCGAGGGGGGTGCAGTGGAAGGCGGCACGGTGGCTCTGATGGTGCCTGGGGAAGGCGAAGGTGAGGACGCCATTGGAGCCCAGCAGGCTAGAAACTTGAAGGCACTACAGTGCCGTCACAGCTGAGCTGCTGCCTTGTTGGTCGAATTGAAGGAGAGAACCATGGCACACACCGCAATCCAAGGGAGAATCGAGCCTGCCAGCGAGACAATCCCGCGGATTCGCGCAGCAACCAATCGAAATTCCGCCTCTTTCCTTCCTTCTCCCTCTTGGGTCTTTGGCAGTGAAGAAGAACGCGGAGGAGGTGAAATCTCACCTCGAGCACCGCAAGAGAAGCTTCTCACTCAAATCAGCACGCACAGCACTGCATTCGCAAACAAAGATAGCCTCTCATCAACACCAAAAACTGATGGATAGAAAGAATTCAAACCCTCTAGAAACTGAGCCAAGATCCCACCTTGTTCCACGCGGATGCTGCGAAGGAGAGGCAGCAAAGGAAGACGGAATTCCGAAGGAACAGGCGAACAGCAGAATCTTGGGGAGGCCGGTACCAGGATTGAAGTTCAAGGCGGAGTCGGAGGCGGCGGACGCGGTGGGTCTGTCAGATCCAGCAGTAACGCGGTAGCATTGAAGGCAAAAGGAGGAGGTAACCGCAAGAACAGCGAGGAGAGTGGAGAGCAGCAAACGAACAAGAAGGCAAGAAATTTCTCCTTGTCTCTCACTTGTTTCTTTCCCCTCTTTTTCCTGTCTTCACCTCCTGCCCTCCTCGCCCCGAAATCCGACGCATGTGACTCTGTACCTTTGCAGAAATTTCTCCTGCCTGAGTGGGAATGAATTCCGATTTCCACCCGTCTCTTCTAGGCGACGGAGAGATGTATCGTGCACTGTCAGTGTGTCACTGTGCCCGTCATGGTGGGTTGGAAAAAGACTATCCTCTTTTTTGCTTTGGCCCCTGGAATCCTGGATATTTCAGGAATTAGAGCTTCTCCACCAATTAGTGAGCTGTGACGTGTTTACAGCTTTTCAGCATTGTCTTAGGCCCTGTTTGGTTGAGCTGTGGCTGTGGGAGAAAGCTGCTGTGGGCTGTGAGCTGTGGAAAAGCTGTTGTGGGCTGTGAGCTGTAGAAAAGCTGAAAGCTGTTTGGTTAAACAAGTATAAAATATAACTTTTATCTTTATCTCTCTTGAAACAACTATGAAAGAGCTTTTTATTCCACCAATTTCGAAAAGCAGAAAGCCAAAAGCCAAAAGCAAGGTCAAACCAGCTTTTAAAAATGAACTACGGAAAAGCAGCTGCTTCTGAAAAAGCACCCTCCAAAAACAGCCCCTTTGGTTGGGCTTTTGGCTTTTGGGACCAAAAGCCAAAGCCAAAAGCCCAACCAAACAGGACCTTAATCTCCCTACTATCCTATTTCAGACTAGAGGAAGGATTCCTGTTCGTCTAAATTGCATCAAGAGGAAATCCTTAGCAAGCAAGTAGTACTATTATTTAATGCTACATCTAATTTGCTATAGGGCGGTCTCAATGGTAGTTTCTACATCATTAATAGGATGACAAGTAAGCAAAATGCTGATATGAATTGAAGAGAGAGAAATCCCTTCATTCAAAAATAAATAGAAAAAACATCCTAACTTTAACCAAATATTTAAAAAAATTACTATATTTAAGATGTGTGATAAGTATCACTGGAATTATTATGGAACATATTTTAATAAAAAATCCTATTTGAAAATACAAATATTGATACTATTTTAGCAAACCGTCAAATTAGGATTGTTTGACTTGTCGATAAGCGAAATTTACATTTTTTGTGATGGGAAAAATAAGAAACTATGTCTATATAGAAAATAAGGTAGGAAGAGTTGTGATAGTCAGTCAGGTGATAGTAGAGAAGAGGTAGATGATCGAATAAAATTTAACTTAAAAATGATCTATTAACAATATAGTGTTTATATATAGTGCATCCATTAATTAATAACTACGATCACACAGAAACTATTTCTACCCTAAACAGGAGCACTGTTGGTTGAGCCGAAGAACAGTGAAACTGACAGTCTGACAGGTCAAAGAAACTGTAAGCAGGTGAATGTTGTGCAGCATCTTTACTCTATCAAAACCACATGGGGCAGGGTTAAAATGATTCACATGATCCCTCCTCAGTACTCATCCTATACCATCGTAATAGACTAATAACAGAGTTAACTAATCCAGAACATGTTGTAAAAAAAACTTATCCAGAACAAAAGATTAATTTTTTTTGGAACAGTTACAAACAGAAGATTAAAAAGGTACTGCATATGCTTCCTTTTCTGTTTAAGAACTATTGAGGGATGAAGAAGACAAAACCACGTTTGGATTTTAGTAGTGCCGAACAGGTGTGTGCACATGGCTTGCTTTATGGGCCTGGAATGGATTTACCCACTCTTTTTTCTCATTTTTTTTTCTGTGGGATGCTGGATTACACATCTTGCAGCCTGATCGTTCGATCGAATCTAGCTTATAACCTATAGCTTATCAGCCAACGAATAATATTTTTTTCTCACATCAAATCAGCCATCAATGCTTTCAGTCATAACTTATAAACTAAACCAGCCCAAACGAACCGGACGGGTCGGACTTGCCTGCTCAGATTCTAACCCGGAATGTTGCCGTGAGCTTAAGGTGATGCGACCCGAAAATGTTTGACATTGGACAAAATGTACAGTAGTATGCAGCAGTAGCACTATCCAAGAACCCATGCTCTGTCATCACTCATCAAGCAGTACTCCCTCCGTCCAGAAGAGAATTCAACCACATGTTCGTATGTAAAAGTAATTCACGTTTGACTAATTTTCTAATGAATAATATTCATGTTTATGGCTCCGAATCAATTTATTATGAAAATATATTTCGTAATTAATCTACTAATATTTATTTAATATCATAAATATTGATATATTTTTATCTATAATTAGTCAAACTCAATCGCACTAAAACCTCAGTAATTGCATTCTTTAGAGTAGCTGTCTACGTTGCTGTTGCGGTGTTGCCTCAAGTACATGTCTTTTTTGCCCCTTTCAGAGAACCAATAATCATGTTCCTTGGTAAGGGAGGATTTAGTATGTATAGTTTCTCTCTCTCTCTCTTTTTCATACTAGTGCTACAGTGAACTGGGGAACGCAAGATGCGCCTGCTGCTGTGTAATTGTAAACTAGTATACGAGTTGTATAAAACAAGTACCACTATAGGTCTCTCAATGATCGAAGTTTGACCCTTTCCAACTTAAACATCTCTATAAGTTTGAATCGTTCAAAAGTGCAGGTACTCCATAAATTAAATAGGTTTATTAAAGTTGACTCAAAAGTAAACGCGCTTGCAGGCTGAATGGCTCAAAAGTCAACACCTAGCTACAGTGCTACTCACATTGTTGAAATTGATTTTATGGACGTAGACTAAAAACCCAGATTTTGTTATAGATGCGTTATATGTATTATGTTCTCTTTGACAATTGGCATGAGTTAATTATCGTCATTACGTAGACAAATCGAGACTTTCCTAGTACCTCTACAAAATTGATATTATCTGCCCTGAAACATGAAATTTTTGTTTGGATTCTATCTATAGACACCTTTATCACAGATCACAAATAATGGACACATGGTCACGCAGTAATAGTGTATACCAACCAAGAACCTTGTGTTTTCTCTCAACCATAAGACATGCTACTAGTTTTACATTTATCCCTTGTTTTTTAATGAGCCATTTTGTTTTCACGGTATTATTATATATAGTGCACGTGGAATTGCCGCTCTCTCACTGACGTATAGGGCTGTAGACTGAGTCGATCAAACTAGGCCAGAGATTGGCAAAATTGTGCGTCACTCATCCGGCTAGTGGTGTCTGTCAAAATTACCCCCAATAGCACGAGAATACATGTACGTATCATGCTTCAAGCAGAGGCTAACCACATGATTGAGGCAGATCATGCCAGCTCATGGCGACCGCCAGTGTGTGAGTGTGATGCACCGTCACTGTATTTTCGTTGACCTGGGCTTCTCTAATACTAATAAATTATCGCTGCTTCTGCCACGTGTGTGATTGAGCCCCAATTTCAGCACCTTCGCTTTCCATGCAATCTCGGAGATGAACGTACAGCTTGTGTCCACATTGCTCCAGCAGACAGCTCATAAAACTGCTGATGCGATATGTATATGTATATATATATATATATATATATATATATATATATATGTATATGTATATGTATATATGCCAAGTTACCAAATCGCCCTGGTAGAACATAATTAGAACTTTGCCAAACGGAGAACCCTTGAAACAGATCATGAAAAAGAAAATATAATAGCCGTATCTATTATTTAATTTGTATATATACGCCTAACATATAACGGTTTTATTATAGGAGACAACGAGGAAAACAATAATAAATTGATAAATAAATAAATTGAAGGAGAGCTAGCCGGGCTTAATACATCCAACAAGTACAATAATAAGGTGGTTAGGCACTAAAAAAAGCGGTTTATTTTTATTGTTTTTATTACAGGCGTGGTTGTTTAGAGGAAGAAAAAGACAAGACAATACGATCTATTTAGGCACCAATTTGTTTCTGGATGTACTCAATGAGTGTTATGGTATTCATGGGTCATGTCTAAGCGCCTATAGTATCGTTCTCTCGAGATGGTCAGAGATGCAAGGCGGATTGCCTGCAAAATATAAATAGGCTAAATTTCAATACATGTGAAGAATGGGCCTCTATTTTAGGTGAGGTGATTGCAAGGCTATTGGCCTACCCTCTCTCTGCACCCATCAACATTCGCGTGGCCTCACCCTAGTGTGATCGATGATTTGCCCTCTGCCTAGTGATCTCTTTTCTTTCTAGCCTCAAAAGTCATCATATATAAATCATTGAGTCGTCTCTTTGGAACCTCTCGCTCCTCTCGAACTAATCTTGCAACAATACTAGGCCTCGTTCACTTTGCAAAAAAAGTGAACCCGATAAATAATACCACTTTCGTCTTATTTGGCAAATATTGTCTAATCGTGGACCAACTAGGCTCAAAAGATTCATCTCGTGATT